CCAAAAATGCACCCGAAATAACCCCAAATTTAACTGGGCGGGAAAGGGTTAAAAGTCACCCCAAATCCAGTGAAATCAACCCAAAAATGCACCCGAAATAACCCCAAATCCAGCTGGGCGGGAAAGGGTTAAAAGTCACCCCAAATCCAGCGAAATCAACCCAAAAATACCCCAAAACCAACCTCAAATTCAACTGGGTAAAGAAAGGGTTAAAGGTGACCCCAAATTCAGCGAAATCAACCCAAAAATTACCCACAAAATAACCTCTAATTTAATTGGAGGAGAAAGGGTTAAAATCGGTTCAAAAATGCCCAAAATTAACACAAAAATACCCCAAATCTAGCCGGGGAGGAAAGGGTTAAAAGTGACCCCAAATCCAACAAAATCAACCCAAAAATGCACCCAAAACCACCCCAAATCCAGCTGGGCAGGAAAGGGTTAAAAGTGACCTCAATTCCATCAAAATTAACCCCAAAAATGCACCCAAAATAAAGCCCAAATTTAACTGGGGAGGAAAGAGTTAAAAATGAGCTGAAATGCAACAAAATCACCCAAAAATACCCCCAAAACAACCCCAAATTTAACTGGGCGGGGAAGGGTTAAAAGTGACCCCAAATCCAGTGAAATCAACCCAAAAATGCACCCAAAATAACCCCAAATTTAACTGGGCGGGGAAGGGTTAAAAGTGACCCCAAATCCAGTGAAATCAACCCAAAAATGCACCCAAAATAACCCCAAATCCAGCTGGGCGGGAAAGGGTTAAAAGTCACCCCAAATCCAGTGAAATCAACCCAAAAATGCACCCAAAACCACCCCAAATCCAGCTGGGCAGGAAAGGGTTAAAAGTGACGCAAAAAAGCCAAAATAAACCCTAAAATACCCCAAAACCAACCCCAAATTTAAGTAGAGAACAAAGGGTTAAAAATGATCCCAAATGCAACAAAATCAACCCAAAATTACCCACAAAATGACCCCAAATTTAATCAAAGAAGAAAGGGTTAAAAATGAGCTGAAATTGAACAAAATTAACCCAAAAATAACCCCAAAACCGAGCCCAAATCCAGCTGGCCAGGAAAGGGTTAAAACCGATCCAAAATCCAACGAAATCAACCCAAAAAATACCCACAAAACCACCCCAAATCAAGCTGGGCGGGAAAGGGTTAAAAGTGACCCCAAATCCAACGAAATGAACCCAAAAATACCCCCAAAATAAAGCTCAAATTTAACTGGGAAGGAAAGAGTTAAAAATGAGCTGAAATGCAACAAAATCACCCAAAAATGCCCTCAAAACCAACCCCAAATTTAACTGGGGAAGAAAAGGTTAAAAATGACCCAAAAAAGCCAAAATTAACCCAAAAAAAGCCTCAAAAGAAAGCCGAAACCTAGGTGGGGGAAAAAAATGGTTAAAAATTACCTCAAATCCTCCAAAATGAACCCAAAAATGCGCCAAAACCCATCCCAAATTTAATCAGAAAAAAAAGGGTTAAAAATGGCCAAAAAAAGCCAAAATTCACTGAAAAATACCCCCAAAATAACCCCGAATTTAAGCGGCCAGGAAAGGGTTAAAAGTGACCCAAAATGCCACAAAATTGAACCAAAAACAACCCCAGATTTAAATAGAGAAAAAAAGATTAAAAAATGTCCCAAAATTTCCAAAATTAAATAAAAAAAAACCATAAAAACAACCCCAAATTTACCTGGGCAGCAAAGGGTTAAAATGACCCCCCCAATCCCAAAAATCACCCCGAATTTAACTGGGGAAGAAAGAGTTAAACTCGCTTCCAAAAGGCCCAAATTTGCCCCCAAAAAATGCCCCAAAATCCAGCTGGGGAGGAAAGGGTTAAAAAGGACCCGAAATCCTCCAAAATGAACCCAAAAGTGCCCCAGGGGTGCCAGGTGTGCCCCTCACCTGTGCCCAGAAGCAGTTGACCGGGTGCTGACCTCATTCCAGGTGTGCCCAGGAGCGGTTTTAGCACCCATAACCCCATTTTTAACCCTTTTAACCCCATTTTTTTCGTGTTTTTCATGCCCAGGTGTGCCCAGGAGCGGTTTTAGCACCCATAACCCCATTTTTAACCCTTTTAACCCCATTTTTTTCGTGTTTTTCATGCCCAGGTGTGCCCAGGTGGGCCCAGGTGTGCCAGGTGTGCCCCTCACCTGTGCCCAGAAGCAGTTGACCGGGTGCTGACCTCATTCCAGGTGTGCCCAGGTGTGTTTTCAGCACACAAAACCCCATTTTCACCCCTTTTAACCCCATGTTTTTGGTGTTTTTTGTGCCCAGGTGTGCCCAGGTGTGCCCAGGTGTGCCAGGTGTGCCCCTCACCTGTGCCCAGAAGCGGCTGACCAGGTGCGGGGTGCCCATAACCCCATCTCAGGTGTGCCCAGGTGTGGTTTTAGCACCCAAAACCCCATTTTTAACCCTTTTAACCCCAGTTTTTGGTGTTTTTCATGCCCAGGTGTGCCCAGGTGTGCCCCTCACCTGTGCCCAGCAGTGCCAGACCAGGTGCGGGGTGCCCATAACCCCATCTCAGGTGTGCCCAGGTGTGGTTTTAGCGCCCAAACCCCCATTTTCACCCCTTTTAACCCCAGTTTTTGGGTGTTTTTCATGCCCAGGTGTGCCCAGGTGTGCCAGGTGTGCCCCTCACCTGTGCCCAGAAGCGGTTCACCAGGTGCAGGGTGCCCATAACCCCATTCCAGGTGTGCCCAGGTGTGGTTTCAGTGCCCAAACTCCCATTTTCACCCCTTTTAACCCCATTTTTTTGGTGTTTCTCATGCCCAGGAGTGCCCAGGTGTGTTTTCATTGCCCATAACCCCATTTTTAACCATTTAAATCCCTTTTGTTTGGTGTTTTTCATGCCCAGGTGTGCCAGGTGTGCCCCTCACCTGTGCCCAGCAGCGCCTGCCCAGGTGCGGGGTGCCCATAACCCCATTCCAGGTGTGCCCAGGTGCGTTTTTAGCACCCAAACCCCATTTTTGCTGGTTTTAACCCCATTTTTTTTGGGTTTTATGTGCCCCAGGTGTGCCCAGGTGTGCCCGGGTGTGCCCAGGTGAATCTCACCTGTGCCCTGAATGCCCTGGGTGGCCCTGACCCCATTCCGGGTGTGCCCAGGTGTGTTTTCAGCACCCAAAACCCCATTTTTAACCCTTTTAACCCCAGTTTTTGTCCATTTTCCTTTTCCCAGGTGTGCCCAGGTGTGCCAGGGGTGCCCAGGTGTGCCAGGTGTGCCCCTCACCTGTGCCCAGAAGCGGCTGACCAGGTGCAGGGTGCCCATAACCCCATTTTTAACCCTTTTAACCCCATTTTTTGGGTGTTTCTCATGCCCAGGTGTGCCCAGGTGTGCCCCTCACCTGTGCCCAGAAGCGGCTGACCAGGTGCAGGGTGCCCATAACCCCATCCCAGGTGTGCCCAGGGACATGTTCAATGCCCATAACCCCATTTTTGGTGGTTTTAACCCCATTTTTTCCCCTTTTACCTGTCCCAGGTGTGCCCAGGTGCACCCAGGTGTGCCCCTCACCTGTGCCCAGAAGCGGCTGACCAGGTGCAGGGTGCCCATAACCCCATTTTTAACCCTTTTAACCCCATTTTTTGGGTGTTTCTCATGCCCAGGTGTGCCCAGGTGTGCCCCTCACCTGTGCCCAGAAGCGGCTGACCAGGTGCAGGGTGCCCATAACCCCATCCCAGGTGTGCCCAGGGACATGTTCAATGCCCATAACCCCATTTTTGGTGGTTTTAACCCCATTTTTTTCCCTTTTACCTGTCCCAGGTGTGCCCAGGTGCACCCAGGTGTGCCCCTCACCTGTGCCCAGAAGCGGTTCACCAGGTGCAGAGTGGCGTCGTCGGTGGCCTGGCGCTTCTCGAGCTTCTCGATGCGCTCGCGCAGCTCGTCCTCGCACGCCTGGCGCTGCTCCAGCCGCTCGGCCAGCTTCTTGTTCCGGAACTGCAGCACCTTGACGTCCATCTCCTCCTGAGCAGGTGAGACACAGACAGGTGAGACAGGTGAGACACAGACAGGTTTTTTGGTGTTTTTCATGCCCAGGTGTGCCCAGGTGTGCCCCTCACCTGTGCCCAGCAGCTTCTGCCCAGGTGCAGGGTGCCCATAACCCCATCTCAGGTGTGCCCAGGTGTGGTTTTAGCACCCAAAACCCCATTTTTAACCCTTTTAACCCCAGTTTTTGGTGTTTTTCATGCCCAGGTGTGCCCAGGTGTGCCCCTCACCTGTGCCCAGCAGTGCCAGACCAGGTGCGGGGTGCCCATAACCCCATCTCAGGTGTGCCCAGGTGTGGTTTTAGCGCCCAAACCCCCATTTTCACCCCTTTTAACCCCAGTTTTTGGGTGTTTTTCATGCCCAGGTGTGCCCAGGTGTGCCAGGTGTGCCCCTCACCTGTGCCCAGAAGCGTTTCACCAGGTGCAGGGTGCCCATAACACCATTCCAGGTGTGCCCAGGTGTGGTTTTAGCACCCAAACCCCCATTTTTAACCCTTTTAACCCCAGTTTTTGGGCGTTTTTCATGCCCAGGTGTGCCCAGGTGTGCCAGGTGTGCCCCTCACCTGTGCCCAGAAGCGTTTCACCAGGTGCAGGGTGCCCATAACACCATTCCAGGTGTGCCCAGGTGTGGTTTTAGCGCCCAAACTCCCATTTTCACCCCTTCTAACCCCATTTTTTTGGTGTTTCTCATACCCAGCTGTACCCAGGTGTGTTTTCAGTGCCCATAACCCCATTTTTAACCATTTAAATCCCTTTTTTTTGGTGTTTTTCATGCCCAGGTGTGCTCAGGTGTGCCAGGTGTGCCCCTCACCTGTGCCCAACAGGTGAGAGACAGACAAGTGAGACAGGTGAGACACAGACAGGTCAGACACAGCTTCTTGTTCCGGAACGGCAGCACCTTCACGTCCATCTCCTCCTGAGCAGGTGAGACACAGACAGGCACAGACACAGACAGGTCAGACACAGCTTCTTGTTCCGGAACGGCAGCACCTTCACGTCCATCTCCTCCTGAGCAGGTGAGACACAGACAGGCACAGACACAGACAGGTCAGACACAGCTTCTTGTTCCGGAACGGCAGCACCTTCACGTCCATCTCCTCCTGAGCAGGTGAGACACAGACAGGCACAGACACAGACAGGTCAGACACAGCTTCTTGTTCCGGAACGGCAGCACCTTCACGTCCATCTCCTCCTGAGCAGGTGAGGGGACTGTGCCCAGGTGTGCTTTTAACTCCCAGGTGTGCTTTTAACTCCCAAGTGTGCTTTTAACTCCCAGGTGTGCCCAGGTGCGCTCACTGAGAGGAGATGCCCCCCAGGTGTGCCCAGGTGTGTTTTTGCCCCCCAGGTTTGCTCACCGTGGAGAAAATGCCCCCCAGATGTGTTTAACCCTGCTCAGGTGAACCCAGGTGTATTTGTACCCGCCCAAGTGGTTTTTTACCCCCCCAGGTGTGCCCAGGTATGCCCAGGTGCGCTCACCGTGGAGGAGATGCCCCCCAGGCGCAGGGGCTCGATCAGCGTGGTGCCCCCAGGTCCCCCCCAGGTGTGTTTTTACCCCCCGAGGTGTATCCCAGGTGCCCCCCAGGTGTATCTCAGGTGTGCCCAGGTGTGCCCAGGTGCGCTCACCGTGGAGGAGATGCCCCCCAGGCGCAGGGGCTCGATCAGCGTGGTGCCCCCAGGTGCCCCCCAGGTGTGTTCAGGTGTGCCCAGGTGCCCCCCAGGTGTGTTTAACCCTGCTCAGGTGTATCTCAGGTGTATCCCAGGTGTGTTTTTACCCCCCCAGGTGTATCCCAGGTGCCCGTAGCTGTGCCCAGGTGCCCCCCAGGTGTATCTCAGGTGTGCCCAGGTGTGCTCAGGTGTGCCCAGGTGTGCCCAGGTGTGTTTTCGCCCCCCCAGGTGTGCCCAGGTGCGCTCACCGTGGAGGAGATGCCCCCCAGGCGCAGGGGCTCGATCAGCGTGGTGCCCCCAGGTCCCCCCCAGGTGTGTTTTTACCCCCCGAGGTGTATCCCAGGTGCCCCCCAGGTGTATCTCAGGTGTGCCCAGGTGTGCCCAGGTGCGCTCACCGTGGAGGAGATGCCCCCCAGGCGCAGGGGCTCGATCAGCGTGGTCGGCGGCTGCTCCTCGCGGGGGGGTCTCTTCTCGGGGGGGCCCCCCCCGGCCTCGGGGGGTCCCCGCTTGGCGCCGACCCCCGCCATGGGCACCTGGGCACAGGGGAGGGGTTGGGGGCACAGGTGAGAGATTTGGGGGGTCCTGGAGGGATTTGGGGAGGATTTAAGGGGATTTTGGAGGGATTTAGGGGAATTTGGGGAGATTTAAGGGGGATTTTTGGGGATTTATGGGGGGATTTTAGGGGATTTTGGGGGGGTTTAAGGGGATTTTGGGGGGGGTCCCTGCTTGGCGCCGACCCCCGCCATGGGCACCTGGGGCACAGGTGAGAGATTTGGGGTGATTTTGGGGAATTTTGGGGAATTTAAAAGGATATTTAAAGGAATTTTGGGGGCATTTTGGGTGATTTTGGGGTGCTGGGGGAAATTCAAGGTGATTTTGAGGGAATTTGGGGGGATTTAAGTAGAATTTTGGGGGTCCCAGGTGAGAAATTTGGGGGATTTAGGGGGATCTTGGGGTGACTGGGGGAGGTTTAAGGGGATTTTAGGGTGATTGGGGGGATTTAAGAGGATTTTGGGGGGATTTGAGAGGACTTAAGGGGATTTTGGAGGAATTTTAGGGACTGGGGGAGATTTAAGGTGATTTAGGGGGAATTTGGGGGCAATTTGGGGGGATTAGGGGAATTTAAGGGGGATTTGAGGTGATTTTGGGGCACTTTGGGCGGGATTTAAGGGGATTTTGGGGGCATTTTAGGTGATTTTGGGGTGATTGGGGGGTTTAAGGGTATTTTGAAGGGATTTAGGGTGGTTTTGGGGGGATTTTGGAGAGACTTAAGGGGATTTTGGGGGAATTTGGGAAGCATTGGAAGGATTTAAAGTGATTTTGGGGGGATTTTTGGTGATTTTGGGGCAATTTGGAGAGGATTTAAGGGGATTTTGGGGGAATTTGGGAAGCATTGGAAGGATTTAAAGTGATTTTGGGGGGATTTTTGGTGATTTTTGTGGGGATTTAAGAGGATTTTGGAGGAAATTTGGAAGGATTGGGAGAATTTAAGGTAATTTTGGGGGATTTTTGGGGATTTTGGAAGGAGTTTTAAGGAAAATAAGGAAGAATTTTGGGGGCAATTTTGAAGAATTTTGGGGGGTCCTGAAAGGATTCTGAGGGGTCTGAGAGGGATTTTTGGGAATTTAAGGGGATTTTGTGGGGATTTTTGGGAATTTAAGTGGATTTTGGGGGGTCCTGAGAAGATTTTGAGAAGTTTTGGGGGTCCTGGAAAAATCTGGGGGGATTTTGGGTGGATTTCAGGGAATTTTGGGAGTCCTGGTGGGGTTTTGGGGGAATTTGAGGAATTTTTTTTGAGATTTAGATGAAATTTGGAGAGGTTTTGGGGGCTGCTAAGGGAATTTGGGGGGATTCTGGGGGGAATTTGGGAATTTTGGGGGTTCCTGAATAAATTTGGATAAATTTAAGAGCTTTTTCTGAGCCTCTGGGGAGCTTTAAAGAGAATTTTGGGGAATTTCTGTGGAGTTTGAAGGTCTGGGGAATCCTTTGAGAGACAAATTTTGATTTTTTTGAGGGGATTTTGAGGGGAAATCGCAACTTTGGGGCATTTTGGGGGAGGGTTTTGGGGAGGATTGAGGAATTTTGGGGTGGAAAAAAGAAAATTTGGGAATGTATGTGGATTGCGGGGGTCCAAGGATGGGAATTTGGGGAAATTTCTGAGAATTTTGAAAGATTTTGGGGTTTTTGAGGAGATTTCAGAGGATTCTGGGGCGATTTCGGACCATTTTGGGGCGATTTTAGGGGAAATTTCGGGGACTTTTGGGGAAATTTCGGATCATTTTTTGAGATATTTTATAGGATTTTGGGAGGATTTCGGAGAACTCTGAGGCGATTTTGTCGCTTTTTGTGGAGATTTTGGGGCGATTTCGGAGCATTTGGGGCTGCCGGGAGCCTCGGGAGAGATCTGATCGCTCCCGAAAAGAAATTTTGTAAAAATTTGAGCTTTTAAACCGACAAAGTGACCTGGGCGTCACCGGATGGAACTAAGGGGCTTTGAGGGGGTCAGGGGAGGGAATTTGGGGCATTTTGGGCGAAATTCCAGCGATTTTCGGCCCTTTCAGAGCTCGGCGCCGCCTGAGGCGCCAAAATGGCGGCCTGAGGGAACCGTGAGGGGCGAGGGGGGGAACGGCGCCTCGGAGCGGCCCGGGAAGGCTCCTGGGGGTTTGGGGGGTGGTTCCGAAGGGATTTGGGGTCGTTTTGGGTCGATTTCCAGCGATTTTGGGGCTTTTTTGGGGTTTTTTTTTAGGGCCCGTCCCGCCTCCCCCTCAGAGCTCACCGGAGCCGGAGCCGCCGTCAGCGCCCCCTAGCGGCGCGGCGGCGCTGCGAACGCGCAGGCCACGCCCACCGCCGACACGGATTGGCTGGGCATCACTAGCCCCGCCCCAACCCCTCGCCCTTTCGCGTTCTGATTGGTTGCGCTGCCTTGGCCACGCCCACGTCGCTGTGGTAACGGCGGCAGGGCGGGAAAAGGAGGGAGGGGTCTGAGAGGGATTTTTGGGAATTTAAGGGGATTTTGTGGGGATTTTTGGGAATTTAAGTGGATTTTGGGGGGTCCTGAGAAGATTTTGAGAGGTTTTGGGGGTCCCGGAAAAATTTGGGGGGATTTTGGGTGGATTTCAGGGAATTTTGGGGGGTCTTGGGGGGAACTTGAGATAATTTGAGGGGGCCTGGGGGAAATTTGGGGCAATTTGGGGAGAATTTTGAGGAATTTTGGGGGTCCTGGTGGGGTTTTGGGGGAATTTGAGGAACTTTTTGGGAGATTTAGATGAAATTTTGAGGGGTATTGGAGAGGTTTTGGGGGCTCCTAAGGGAATTTGGGGGGATTCTGGGGGGAATTTGGGAATTTTGGGGGTTCCTGAATAAATTTGGATAAATTTAAGAGCTTTTTCTGAGCCTCTGGGGAGCTTTAAAGAGAATTTTGGGGAATTTCTGTGGAGTTTGAAGGTCTGGGGAATCCTTTGAGAGACAAATTTTGATTTTTTTGAGGGGATTTTGAGGGGAAATCGCAACTTTGGGGCATTTTGGGGGAGGGTTTTGGGGAGGATTGAGGAATTTTGGGGTGGAAAAAAGAAAATTTGGGAATGTATGTGGATTGCGGGGGTCCAAGGATGGGAATTTGGGGAAATTTCTGAGAATTTTGAAAGATTTTGGGGTTTTTGAGGAGATTTCAGAGGATTCTGGGGCGATTTCGGACCATTTTGGGGCGATTTTAGGGGAAATTTCGGGGACTTTTGGGGAAATTTCGGATCATTTTTTGAGATATTTTATAGGATTTTGGGAGGATTTCGGAGAACTCTGAGGCGATTTTGTCGCTTTTTGTGGAGATTTTGGGGCGATTTCGGAGCATTTGGGGCTGCCGGGAGCCTCAGGAGAGATCTGATCGCTCCCGAAAAAAAAATTTTGTAAAAATTTGAGCTTTTAAACCGACAAAGTGACCTGGGCGTCACCGGATGGAACTAAGGGGCTTTGAGGGGGTCAGGGGAGGGAATTTGGGGCATTTTGGGCGAAATTCCAGCGATTTTCGGCCCTTTCAGAGCTCGGCGCCGCCTGAGGCGCCAAAATGGCGGCCTGAGGGAACCGTGAGGGGCGAGGGGGGGAACGGCGCCTCGGAGCGGCCCGGGAAGGCTCCTGGGGGTTTGGGGGGTGGTTCCGAAGGGATTTGGGGTCGTTTTGGGTCGATTTCCAGCGATTTTGGGGCTTTTTTGGGGTTTTTTTTTAGGGCCCGTCCCGCCTCCCCCTCAGAGCTCACCGGAGCCGGAGCCGCCGTCAGCGCCCCCTAGCGGCGCGGCGGCGCTGCGAACGCGCAGGCCACGCCCACCGCCGACACGGATTGGCTGGGCATCACTAGCCCCGCCCCAACCCCTCGCCCTTTCGCGTTCTGATTGGTTGCGCTGCCTTGGCCACGCCCACGTCGCTGTGGTAACGGCGGCAGGGCGGGAAAAGGAGGGGCGCGCGACTCTTAAAGGGGCAACGAGAGGCTCTTAAAGCGGCGATGGTGGAGATGGGGCCCACAACCGGTTTTTTTGGGAATTTTGGGACCCCCGGGAATTTTGGGGACCCCCCGCAATTTTTGGGGACCCCCCCGAGACTTTTGAGGACCCTCCCCGACTTTTGGGCCCCCTCGTGACCCTCCAAAACCCTTTGGAGACCTTCTAAGACCTCTGGGACCCCCCAAAAATCCTCAAATCCCTAAAATTAACCCCAAAATTCCCCCGGGGACCCCCCCAAGGCCAAAATCCCCCCCCAAATCCTCTTGGGGACTCCAAAAATTATCCGGGACCCCCAAATATCTTTGGGATCCCCCAAAATTCAAAAAAATCTCTCAAATCCCCCCAAAAATTCACAAGGACCCCCCCAAAATATTTTCTTTAAAAATCCCCCCAAAATTCTCCCAAAGATCCCAAAATTCCCCCAAAATGCCCCCCGGACCCCTAAAACTGCCCCAAATTTCCTTAGGACCCCCCAAAATCTCCCCAAATCTTCAAGTGTCCTCCCCCAGTACAG